TTGTAGGTCATGCATATTTGGCATGTTTGACATGTTTTCTTGGTGTTTTACATGATAAACACTCAAGGGTGCTGGCGCAAAGAGGCACACACAAGGGACAAGGACTCGGGTCGCAGCTTAGTGGTCGTATCATTCGACCTGCCAGTGTGTGTGTGTGTGTATGTGTATTTTGGGAGCAATTTTTTCAGTCAATTTCGTCGCTGGGGATGGGGAACTTAATTTGATTTTCGAGTGGAGAACTTTGTCTGCCAGCAAAAATCCCCAAAGTGGTCATCCGGGGGGTCCTTCTTGCAGCGCTTTCGCTCTGGCTGCTGCCCGCTGGCTGTGCTCCTCCACATCCCTCCTTGCCCATTTCACCTATGCCAATTTCGGCAACTGCTGCGACTTCCATCAAATGCTAGCCGCAAACTCGGCGGCTCCGCGAGTAAGGCAACCGGTTTGCACAAATCAAGGAGAGCACGCGATTGCCTCGCGGAACAAGTTTTATTAGTTACGCGTCGCGCTGCGTTTGCCATTGCCATTGCCGTTGCCGTTGCCGTTGCCTGCAGAGCGTAACATTTGGGTCCACAGATCCAGGCATCAACAGCAACAACAACAACAACAAGAACAACGTCATCGTAACTCTGGCCACGTTGCAGGCACATGTTTCCTCGAGTTTCGAACGCGATCTCGACGCTTCAGAGTGCACTCTTTGCCTCGCCTGCAACTCTACTCGAACGCAACTCCAAGTCAGCGAGGAGCGTATTGAGTCCGAATCTTCTTGGGTTCTCGCTCCTCGCTGCTTTCTATGTAGGTCGCTGCAATTCAATACGTATACGGTGTACCCTTCAGTGCCCTTCGCCGCTGCCCTCGATTTCTGAGGCTTCGGTTTCGCTTTTGGGCCCAGTTTCTGGCTCGCTTGACGTGTCTCTGTCTCTGCTAATGCGATGCATTTTCAAATCCAGCCCGACCACTACTCCATGCATGCACTTTTCGCCGGGATTGAGGATCGGGAATGGGGAATCGAAGAGTGAAGAGTTGTTAACCAAAAACGGGTTTGCTGCGTTTGCAGGCAGCACAGGATTCGACCAGGCACCGCCCTAAATAGCGATTAACACGTCAACCACAGGTCGTGGCTGACCGATAGGGCCCATAAATCAGGTCGCGCTTAATCGGCCGGCTATTGGCACGACACTATCCGCCGAGTGGTCCTAGCCCGAAAAGGGAATATTAGGGCTTCTTTTTGGGGCCTTACCCAGGCTCAACAGGCCAAAAACAAGCCAACAAGCCAGCAAAGACCGCATCTTGTCATCTTGCTCGTTCCGTTCCGCTCGATTGGTTCGGGTTCGGGGGCTTCGGTGCAAGAGTGAGAGTGTTGCGGTGCGGTGACAGCAGCGACGGGGATATTCAGATCCCCGGCAAGGACACGCGCCCACGCACACACACATGTCTGGTTGCCAGGATTACTCGCTGGCCCAGACGAGGGGAGCCCCCGAGTGAGTTGACTGCTGCCATGGCAGCGCTTAGCCTTAGCTGCTCGCCACCCAAGGTCACCGGGAGAGCCACACTGAAACTGAAGTCGCCTTGAAGCACAAGGACACACCACCCACCCAGCGTCCATAACACACACTCACACACTCACGCACTCACACGAAGCCCAGTGCAACCTGTTGAAGACATCTAGCCAGCCGGGAAAGGAACGGAGCGAGAAAAGAGAAAGCTAAGCGCGAGAAAATCCTTCTGGCAGAGACGACGAAGCAGCGGCAAAAGAATAAAACTCCGGCAGAGGCTGTGGCAGTGGCAGTGGCGTGGCCAGCATTATGTGGCGGTGGGTGATGTGGGTGGTTGTGCTGCCCACCTACCCACCCACCGGGCTGTCTAATCTCCGGCCATGTGAGTGGGGGAACGCCTTGCGCCGGACAACCGCAGGCCTACAGGTGGTTTGCCACGAGTGTGTGCCACAGCCATCCAGCCATCCAGCCAGCCAGCCAGCCAGCCAGCCATTCAGCCAGCTGTTGGTGTAATTAGAAGGGCCGCAGCCTGCTGGCTGGTGTTACCACTCCGACGAGAATGACGTCTGCCATCAGTCAAGTCCAGGCTGTGCGTTCAAGGTCGCCTGTTGCCCCTGCTGCCCCCCTGCTGCCCCCCTGACGCCCCCTTCTGCGCCTCCTTTTCTACCTTTTGGCCCGGTCGTTGGGCAGCAGCCTTGAAACCGTTGCCTGATTTTTTCGGAGTGCCTTTTGCCGTGAAAATGTATCAGTTGCCGCACTTTCGCATGGTTTTTTTCTAGCGCTTGCTTGGGGAGCACTTCTTGATGGTCCTTCCTCCCATCGCCCACTTTTTGCCCGTTTTTCCATCGCCTCCTCGATGGGAGAAGAAAAGAAAAACCTGACGGCGACGGCGACGTCGACGCAGCAAGCGGCATCGTCGTTTTCTGAAGGAAAAACGACGACGGCAGAACGAGAGTGAAAGTCTTGGCCACATGGGGACGAAGCCTTACGCACTCACTCACACTCGCACACACACACACAGTAATACATACACACCCACACGGTGACGCTGACGCCGCTGCCAACGGCGAGAGCGACGCGGGCAGCGACGGCGACGCCAATACCAACACCAATACTAGTGAACGCCAGGCTCTTTTCGCTCCCTTTTTCCCGTTTTCTTCACCATTTTTTATTCGCTTTTTCCTTCGGATTTTTTTTTTGCTCCTTTGCTCCTGACTCGAGCCGTGCTGCTGCTGCTCTGCTGTTGCTGCTACTGTTTATTTTGGTCGACGGATTTCCCCCACATCCCCCGTGCCCCACGTGCCCCATGCCCCATCCGTAAAATAATTTTTCGTCTTTTTGGCTGCTACTTTACTTGCTCCTTCTGCAGGCAGCAGGCAGAAAACTTTTCTTAACTTTTTCTCTTTTGTTGGTTGAGGATTTTTTCCTTTTTCCTTCTTTGTACGGGGTGAGAAGGGGTATCAGCAGGTTTTCTCTTTGGCGCGGCGCTCTTTGAAATAGTTCGTAATTTAAGAGACGCACCCCGTCATTTTTGTCCCGTTCCCCAGGATCGTGGACGATGGTAACGCGCTTAATTGGCTTCTTTTCTCGAGCTTTTCACAGCCGCTATCGGTGTGAAAAGCTTTTCAGGAAGGGTTGGGATTGGGATTGTGATTGGGTCTCTGGCCCCACGATCGCTAGTGGAGTTCACAACCTAACGAGTTTACCTGACACTCCAAAATACTTTAATTCTTTCTTGCTGAATTTAAAGCTCAAAGCTTGCAGACTTCGATCGGTAGTAGAGTTTAAAACCAGATATGATGACTTAATTATGATCTCTTTTTTTGTGCTTGCCAATTGCTAAGCAAAGTAAAGCCCCAAAAAGCTCAAAGCCATTTCGTCTTAAGAAAGACCAAATTTAAATAAAATTGACCAAAAAATGTTAATAAAATTAATGAAGAAGTTTGCTAGAGAGTTCAACTAACAAAATTTTGAGGTATGCCGCTTTAAAATAGGAGATAAATCAAAAAAGTTGATTTATGGAAACTTTTTGGAAGACCGATTTTTTGTTAATTTGGAAAGGTCATACAAATTGGGAAAAATCAACCCCGAAATAAAAAATAAACAAATAATGCAGTTCACTAGAAAATCAAACTGCAAACTTTTAGATGTATCCCACCTCAAACCCTAAGCTGTTTTTTGGGCAAACATATTTTTTGTAAATTTGGTTTAGGGTTATTATATAAATAAAGGTCGGTAAACTTTTTGAAAACCATTAAAACTAGGAGGCTTAACCATAAGATCAGAAATTTTAGTGGGGTCTCAAACACACAATGGAGACTTTCTGCATTCTGGTGTGGGTGCAGCTCGGCGCAAATAACATTGAATGTTAATAAGCTCTGGAGAACCATCAATGGAGATTCTTACTCTCTTCTGTGTCGTGAGAAGATTCCGCCGCTGGCAATCTCTTCAAAACGTTCTTTTGCATTCTCTTTCTACTTGGAATCGCAGTATGTTCATTTCATCTTTTCATCACATTTTATAAAGACGACTGGCTTATCTCAACTCGAGACGTGTTAAAATCTCAAGAATTTAGTCGGAGCGGCGGCGACTCATAGCTTGTCCAACATCGATGACATGGAAATGGCTTTGACTCCAGTTTATTACACAAATCTTGGGTACCTGCGCCCGTTCGAAAATCACGCAGGTCGAATGCACAGGTAGCCAAGTACTCCAGATAGTAGATATAGTATTCTTGGGGAACGCATGGCAGGTGATTTGTGTTTATGTCGATATCAGCTGCATGCGGATGGGGTTATTATCTTAGGCTCAGAGCCGGAAATGCAGCTCTTACTTATCACAGCTCTTACTTTTCTTACAAAGAAATCAGAAAGCTTATTACAAATCATGTCCGACGATGAAGCAAAAAGAATGCATGAGTTTTCATCTTTATAAATATCTTTAATCATTACAACGCAACCTTAACGTTATGTTTTTGTTGTGACATTAAAGTGCAATCGATGGACAGATTTGTGTAAAGCGATTACCATATTATAGCGCCCGTCGGTATTTACCACCTTAAAAACAAAGTACAAAGCGGACCGTAAGAATCATTAACATGAATGGTTTTTAATAGGAATGTTTTTAGGTAACTAAGCGATTGCACCAGTGTTCATTCTGCATTATTGTTTCCCAAATTACGACACTAATTCCGGTATTCCTGCCTCCCAATTAGGGGGAACGTGCTCGATCTCGGGTTTTAGGCCCTTTTTTCGGCTGCGACACAGTAGGCGAATCGTGTCTTTCCGCCCCAAGCGACGAACGTGTTGAATGACGCATCAATACCGAAAGCTACGAATCTTGAATTTTCGGATGCGTAACTCCCACAGTCGTACGTGAAAGAATCGTAGAACAGGGCAGAGCTGCCAAAAATGGTTTATGGTATGGTTACATGACCCTGGCTCTGAGATACGAAACAAATATAATACGAAACTGCGTGCGACTTCTCACACATTTCCTTTATCGTTGCAGGCATCGATTCCGCATTAGTCACATCCATTGATCACGTCCAAAATGCGGTGGAAAATCGCAACATCTCCGGTGCGGAAGTGGAGCACGTCACTCTGCGACGCTCTAAGCGCTCGCTTTCTAGTCATGCATCTCGGAGCGGCCACGGTCGTGGTGCAGCGGCAGTACCGCTGCCGCTGCCGCTACCGGCGGAGACTCTCTTCCGGTCTGCGGGCACGTGGCAGAGAGCGCTTGGCCCGCTGCACTCTTCGCTGTCGCGAAGAATGGGCCAAGAATGGGGCCCGCTTTGCTTGGGTTCCGTTGGAGCGGGAATAACATCTCCGTACTTAAGTCACGCGACGGCCAATCGGCATTCGAGTTATGCAACATTCTCGGAAGCGAGTGCACCCAGCGACCTTTTAAGCGCGTCTTGCCCGCTCCAAGTCACCACTGCCACTTCAGAGCTGACCGCGGTCGCAGCCCAGGTTCCGAGAAACTCTTGAGGATACTAGCTAGATGAGCGCAGGACCACGAAGTGCAATTAGTTCCAGTCAAGTTCCGAGTCATCTGAAGTAGAGTGCTGCCCACCATGACGACGCACTGCCTCTGGTCGACTTTCCTTGGCCTGCTGGCCGTGCTCTCCATGGCGACCAGTCGCTCGGTCCGCCAAGCGCCAGGTGGATATCCGCACGTCCTGCCCGCCGGCTACTACGGGCAGCCCTTCTACTACCAACCGCCCTACGGATACGGCTACCAGGCGCCGCCCCCGGTTTTCAGCCCACCTGGCACCTACTACGATAATGTTTACGGCGTCTACAAGACCTATCCCGGCGGTGGTTATCCGGTGCGGTTCGATTACGTAAGTTGAAGGTTTCGTTGAACATTGAAAATATTTTTGGATTTTTATAGAAATGGATTCATATAGAAAACTAATTTCTAACCTAGGTGATGTTTAGTAACTGATTTTACAGATTAAATTCAACTTCGCCCCCCTATGTAGACTGTTTTATACTTTTGCCAACACTCTAGAAAACTTCTTCCATTTCAGAATAATCGTTGCTCTCGCAACTACATTGGTATCAAGCCCCACCCCGATCAGCATCAGTACTATTATGTCTGCAAGCCGAACTGTGTTATCTTCAGCAAGTGCCGGAATCATGAGGTGAGTGCTAAACGACCCCTCACTCTGGCAGTCACTAAATTTCGGTTTTTTTTTGTTGTTTCCGTTCCGCAGAGTTTCAACTCGAGCAGCGGGAGCTGCGTGCCGCACGTTCCGCAGCACAGACCGAACCACAGGACGCCGCAGTGCGAGAAGGAGGGTCGCTTCCCACACCCACACGACTGCAAGGTTTACTACAGATGCGACAAGAATCAGACTCAGCCCTGGCTGTTCGCTTGCCCCGAGGGCACGATCTTCTCGCCGGTGGAACGCAAGTGCCTGCCCGGGGATCAGTGCCCCTCGACGGAGATCTCCGATAGTGGCAGCTACATCCCGCAGAACTGCGAGCTCAAGTTCCCCGAGTGCGCCGAGGAGGGCACGTTCCGCTCGCCGACGGACTGCGCCCTCTACTACACGTGTCGCTTGCAGGAGAGCGGTACCTATCTGCAAACGCGCTTCAAGTGTCCCGGCAGCAACAGCTTCGACCTCGAGCGCAAGCTGTGCCGTCCGCGCAGCGAAGTCGACTGCTTTGACATTGTTCCGGCACCCTACCACGCCCCACAGCCTTACTATCCTCCCTACCCAGCTGCACCGCTCTTCGAGGAGGACGACTACGACGCGGACGCCAAGGAACTGGAGCCCGCTCTCAAGTCCGATAAAATCCAGTTGCCGGACGGCATTCAAAGGCCCTCGGTAAACGTCGTCATACTGCCTACGACGACTACGCCAGCGACTACAACCGCATCGAAGCGCACTACCGAGGATCACAAATACCACCCGTATCCGTCGTATCCCTCGTATCCCTCGTATCCCTCGTACCCGTCATACCCTTTGTACCCCTCTTATGACCACACCTCCCACGAGCATGGTAAAGAACATGATGTAAAAGAGGACGCCTTGAACCGATTCAAGTTGTCGGAGCATGTTGTAATCTTGCCCACAACACCAGCGACTACGTCTACCAGAGATGAGCTTTCAAGGGATACAACAAAATACCAATACAAAAGGTACACTTATGCAACCGAGACTCCGGAGTACAAATCGCCTTTGAAGGGCTTGAAACTTTCGCAAAATGTTGTTGTCTTACCAACTTCGACCTCCAAGGCTACCACAAAACCTACAGTACCGACATGTCCCACTCTGCCGACATTAGCTACTACAACGGAATCGAGCCCAGCTACGACTACAAAACAAACAACTACAAGTACCCCAAAACCTTCAACAAGTACCAAAAAACCCAAAACGACGACTCCGAAACCATCTACTGTGACGACCACTCAGAAGCCAAGTACGACAACTAGGAAATCCACAACAGTTACCAAGAAACCTATCACAACGACTTTGAAAACCACTAAAGTTACAACAACTACACAAAAGCCAAGCTCCACTACTCAGAAGTCCTCAACAGTTACGACCACTGAAAAGCCATCCACAACAAGTGCTAAGCCTGCTATTAGTACAGAGAAACCAACCACAACTACAGTGGACACCTCGACAGTGACTACGACCACTCAAAAGCCAACAACAACTACTTCTTCGACTACAAAAACAACGAAGACAAGTACAGTGACAACAACTACACAAAAACCAACGATTACTACTCAAAAATCCTCAACAGTTGTTACGAGCACTGAAAAGCCAACCACAACTAGTCCTAAACCTACAACAAGTACCAAAGACCCCTCCACAGCGGCAACTACTACTCAAAAACCAACTACAGTCACTACTTCCACCCAAAAGCCAACAACTACTACTCTTCAGCCCACAACAACTACCCAGAAGACAACAACGACGGCTCTGAAGACAACCAAATTGACAACGACTTCTCAAAGCCCAACGACTACTTCTGAAAAAACCTCAACAGTTACAACAACGAGCAAGCAAACAACAAAAACCGAAAAACCAACTTCAACTTCCGAAGCAACCTCTCCAATAACCACGACTGAAGAACCAACAACTACTACTGCAAAACCGACAACAACGACCCAGTTCACGTCACCATCCTCTCAAAAACCAACGACATCTGATCCGAAAACGTCTTCAACCTCAACATCTAATAGGACCACGAGAAAAACAACAGATAATACTCAAAACCCTACAACAAGTACCGAAAAACCCGGCACAACAACTGCGAAAACAAGTACCAACATATCAACCACTCAGAGACCAACAACACTGCCCGAGACAACGACAACGACGACTCAAAAACCAACTCAACCAACAACATCTGATCCACCGAAAACGTCTTCAGTGACCACAACCACACAAAAGTCATCGACTACCACCCAACAACCTACAACACTCTCCCAGGAGACAACGAAAACGACTCCTGAGTCAACAACAACAACGACATCAACCACTCAACAACAAACTACTCCTCAGAAAACCTCAACATCTATTAGGACCACGAGAAAAACAACAGAGAATACTCAAAACCCCACAACAAGTACCGAAAAACCAGCCACAACAACTGCAAAAACAAGTACCAACATATCAACCACTCAGAAACCAACAACAGTGCCCGAGACAACGACAACAACCACGACCACAATAAAATCAACAACATCTGATCCGAAAACCTCTACTGGAACTACGACCACAGAAAGAGTAACAACTACCACTCTTACACCGACTACAACCTCCCGAAAGACAACAGAAACAACTCCTAAGTCAACGACAACGACCACTCAAAAATCAACTACTGAGGAAACCTCAACATCTAATAGAACTTCGAGAAAAACGACAAGCCCCATAACAAGTACTGAAAAACCTGCCACAACGACTTCAAAAACAACTACTGACATATCAACTACTCAGAAACCAACAACAACGACCGAGACAACGACAACGACTACGCAAAAAACAACAACATCTGATCCGAATACCTCCAAAGGGTCCACGACTACACAAAAGATAACAACTACCACCCAAGAACCAGCAACATCCTCCCAGAGGACAACGAGTACGACTCCTACGTCAACAACTACTGTGCAACCAATAACAAGTACCGAGCAATCGACAACGACCGCTCAAAAGTCAACAACGACTGGTCAGGAAACCTCAACACCTAATAGGACCACCAGAAAAACAACATCGAATACTCCGAATCCTACAACAAATACCGAAAAGCCCGCCACAACGAGTACAAAAACAACCACTGACGCATCAACTACTTTAAAATCTAGTACAACCTCTCAACAAACTTCGACAGCTACTACTACCAGCAATCAAACAACATTAAGTACTCCTAAGCCTACATCGAGTTCTGAAAGGCCTAACACATCTACTCAGAAGACCTCTACAGTATTTTCGACCCAAGAACCGACTACAACTACTCCCAAATCTACAACAACGACCCAGACAACTACGACCTCAACGAAACCAATTACAAGCACACCAAGTCCAAGCACTACGACATTAAGTACTCCTAAACCTACAACGAGTTCTGAAAGGCCCAACACATCCACTCAGAGGACCTCTACAGTATCTTCTACAGTAACGAGTACAGAAACAACCACTGACGTATCAACTACTATAAAATCAAGTACAACCTCTAAACAAACTTCGACTCCTAAACCTACAACAAGTTCCGAAAGACCTAGCACATCTACTGAGAAGACCTCTACAGTATCTTCCACCCAAAAGCCGAGCACAACTACTTCCAATCCCACGACCTCAGCGAAACCAATAACAAGCACACCAAATCCGAGCACTACGACTCGTAAATCGTCATCAGTTGCGGCGTCAAGTACAAGTATCGGGACCACGAGGCATCCGACTACCACTACCACGGTAATCTCAAGCAGCACGGAGCTAACCACTGCCACTCGACCGGCCTGTCCTGATCACGACTCCACCTCAGGTAAGTCCACAGTCGCATGCTCAGCCATCAATCCATCTCGAAAGCACGCAGGGCAACACAGCACGGCACACCTAATCACTACACCTGCCTTACAGATACAAACAGACACTCCGCATGCACACAAGAACTCCGCCTCGTGAAACAACTCCCTCTACACGCACAGCAAACACAACACGCCACAGAATCAGAGTTCGCTGGGCGGTCGAATAGTTTGGGAGGGCGGGATGAGCCAGACATGGACTACATGGACGATGCTCCGTCCTCCGGCGAGGGGAATCCTGGTGGGGATGGGGCGACGACAGCAAGGGCTCCGACCATGTCCACGCTGGCGGCGGCCCACCTGCTGCGGAAGCTGTTCCACTCAATCTCCACCACTCCGCCGAGCAGGGAGCGTTCCTCCAGCCAACGGCCGCCGGGAGTGACGCTCTCCCAGATGGCCAGGCACAACCTGGCCACCTCGAAGCCCTTCATCGCCCACTCCCTGCGGCTCTCCCTCCAGCAGCTGGCCTCCGCCCAGGAGCACTTCGTTCCGCCCAAGCCGCTCGTGGCACCACCGAACTCCGCCAAGAAGGAGCCGCAGGACTCCGAGTACGACGACAGCGAGACGTCGGAGCAGTATCTCGACGAGGAGAACGAGGTGCTGCCGTTGCCCAGAACCCTGCCAGTGGCCATGTCCAGCTCAACCGTGGCTGCCGTGCTCCCGGCTCCATCGACGACCACCGAGCAGACACTTCCCGAAACCAGTTCCGCTCCAAGTCGGACGAGTGCCGCAGCTTCAGCTTCCTCCACCACCACCACCACCACCACCACCACCACATCTCAGCCGATTGAGTCGACGACGGGGGACGTGGAGTACGGCGACTCTGACTATGCCAACGACGAGGCTCTGTCTGCAGAAACGAGTGCCAATACAGAGACCGAGAACGAGATTCCCGGCGGAGCCTCGAGCATGGAGGCCAGAAAGAGCTTCTTGCTAAGCCTGCTCAAGGAGCGGCTGACTCGAGCGGAGGAGGCGAAGCCGAAGCCGTTGCCAACGACAACAACAACAACCACAGCTGCTCCACGGATATCAAGCACAATGAAAAGCAGCAGCTCTACTGCGAGCACAAGTTCAAGCACAAGTACTGCCGAAAGTACGACTGCAACTGCAACTACGAGAGTGAAAACAAGCACTCCGTTCGAAAATGAACCCACTACTACCACTACTGAGGCGGCGGTACAGTTGCCAACTAACAAATTAAGTCACCAGAGCTCAGAATACTACGACGACGATGACTACATGGAGGATGAACCTTCCAGCTTCTCGGATGCTGAGAGCAAAGACCGGAAGGACAAAGTCACAGTGGCCAAGGAGCCGCCAGCAGCCACAGCCAAGCGGCACGTTGTATTACCAAACAAAAAAACGGCCTGGGATGTGAAAAGTGTGGTGCACTCGAAAGCCGCATCAGGCGGTCCAGTCCTGAAAGGACTTGCAGCCAAGCCAAATCCGATGCCCATTGCCAGTTTCTTGAAGGGGGCGTCACAAATCAATGTTAGGAAGCCACCAACACCTAACTTAAACATTAAACCAACAATAATTAAAGAAAACACAACACCAACAGCTGAATCATCCACTGCAGAACCAGCATCAACACAAACAGAAACAACAACATTGACAACACTGCCGACCAGGCTACCAAAGGCACTCCTAACCAGCCAACTCAAAAGCCAAGCTGCGAAGCAAGAACTAATCCCAATCACACAGCGTACACTAGAAGTGTTCACACCGACCACTGCAGAAACCCTGCCGACTGCCAGCGGACTGGCGGCGGTCAGGGCCTCATCAGTAGTGGCTCCATTTGCCCCACTTGCCCCACTACCACCCGAAGCACCAACAACGCCTTCAACCGCCGCAGAGCGCCGGGAAGTGCTGTCGGTGAACAGCAGACCCTGGTTGCTGGCGGCTCGCAACCACACCGTCCGCATAACACCCATCTCATCACATTCCGCTCGATCGCCGAGCATCCCAGTGAGCCAAGTTAACCGTCCGAGTTCGTTCCGTCCACTAGTGTCCAGCCCCGAGGACCTCTCCACCGAGGCGCCGGTGCCGCAGCTCATCGTGAAGGTGTACGAGCCCATCGACCTGAAGATCGTCTTCTGCCCGAAGTCCTGCGACCAGGACCACGACCACAAATTCGGTAAGTCCAGATTGTTACTTTGATACCTTTGACCCCTGACCCCTGACCCCTGACCCCTGTCCGATTAAACCTGAATATGAACCTGAAGCTCAAACCGATACTGACTCTGAATACGAATCTGAATCTGACTTGACCACAGACCCAGCTGATAATATTAAGAAGTCCAACTGCTCTGGAGGCTGCGACGAGGAGGAGGAGCGGGTCCACAAGCACGTTGACATCCAGTGGAAGCCACTCGAGCTGAGCGACATCGCTGGCTTCCGCAACGCAGTGTAAATAGAAGTGGGACGCCGCCCCCCGTAAATCGAACGAACCTACGAACTTTCTCGGAAGTACGATTACTTTAACCTAGTAGCTAACTTGAATAAATACCATATGTTTAAATCAATGTCGTCTGTCCGACTGACTGGCAATTGGCGACAAGCGGAGATTGGCCGACAAAGGGGCTTCCGACCTGCACTGCACTCCACGTTCTCCATGTGGTGGAGCAGGGCATCGGGTGGTGGAAAGTGGGAATGGAGTGGGCGGGGTGGAGTGCACACCGTCAAAAGAAACAGCAAGGCAGCCGCCGCGCCAAAAGAAGCAGGCAGAGCTCGCACAAAAAGTTGCATGCCAAAAGGAAGGAAAAGTGCGCAGCCATGCCGAACGTCCTTCAGCCAGTGTCGGCAGTGGGTCGTTGAGCGAGCCATGGATGGGGCATGTGGCATGCGGCATGTGGATGTGGATGCGGCTGTGGTCGTGGTCTGTGTGGTTTCGCCGCCTGCATGTGTCCAGCAGCAGAAGTAGGTGCCACCTGTTGCCTGGTCCAACAAAAGAAAGAAGTCCCTAACACAAACGAGGATGTGGCAATAAGACCAAGCCAAAGTCGATGTGCTGGGTGCTGGCATGCAACATCCACCCGCCCAACAGTGGGGCACACATGCGAGTGGGGATGCGAGACACCAGGCGCCCAGTGTCGACAGCAAATGTCCGCGAATCCCTGAAGCGAGCGAGTGGGGTGTGTTTTGTGTGTGGGTGTGCGGGTGTGCGGGTGTGTGTTTGTGTGGCAAGAAAAGGACATGCAGAAGCGCGTTGCAAATGCAGCCAACGTTGGCGAAACGTTGGCCATTGTTTTTACTGCCAGCTGCATCGGCGTGCTTTTGTTGTCTTCGGTTATTTCACTTCTGTTTTGTTGATGCTCGCTCTGTTGTGGCACAGCATTCGCAAATCGCCGCCAGTGGCGAGTGGCGAGTGGCAAGTGGCAAATAGAGCAGAGTGTCGAATGGGTGAGGAGGCCATGCCGCACTTTCGACCCACTTACGCCCACCTAAGCACCAATGGCATCAGCGTTTCTGCTTTGCCAGCTTTTTGGCGATTTACAGTTATGCGAATGCGTACTATATGTGTATGTGTATGCGTATGCGTATGTGTGTTCGTGCCACAAATCGGCATCAAACGCGCTTAGCAGACATCATCTTGCTACCGCCGTTGATGCCCTGCACAAATCTCCAGTTGGCCATGAATTATTCAACAGTTCAACAGTTGGCCCTCCCCTGCCGCCTCTCCTTCCGCTAGCTTCCCCCAACTATGGCGCACAATTTGCAATTTTCATGTAGCATGTAGCATGTAGCATGTAGTCTTTTGGAATTGACTTCGCCCTGCCACCGCCACAATAACTGCCACTGCCACTGCCACTGCCGCGCACACATGCTCCTTGTGCAAATCCTTTTTATGCCCGCATTATATAGTTCGCACGCATTGCCTCTGAAGGGGAGGCGCCTCTGAACTTGTGAGCTTCTGAGCCGCAAGACGCGAGACGCCAGACGCAAGATGGGAAGGGGCAACGTCACATTTGGCACACGATGCGCGCGTCATTCAATTCCATTTCCATTCCCATTTGCCCGCCACTTCGACACATCGACCCTTCGACGACGCTACTGCGACCTCCGCTCCGCTCGTGGCAATTCCACATTTCCATTTGCAGCGCGACGCCATTCCGAGGGCCATATAACCAAGTTCAATTACCTGTTACAGCCGTTAGATGAATTTCTATGGCCAGTACATGTCCCGACTAGTTGAGTACAGCGACTCCACTTCTTGAGCTCCTTGTTTCTTAAAGGAAGGAGGTGGGAATGGATGGTGGGTGGTGGATGGTTGGTAGCGAGTGTGTGTGGCTTTTTTGAATATTTGAAATGTTTTTGTTCGCGCGCCACGCCAACGACTTCGACAACATCGACGACGATGGCTGAAAGTTGGCTTGGCTTGGCCTGGCTTTGGGGAAGTGGAAGTGGAAGTGGAAGTAGCGATGTGGCGATGTGAAGATGTGGAAGAATAACGACACACTTTGGCACGCATTTGTGATAAACATAAATGAGCTTAGAAATGAACCCCGCTGGATAAGGCGCACACGCCCTCACACTCATGCATAGTGCATGTGTCTGAGTGTGTGTGTGTGTGAGTGTCAGGGTCGAAATCGGGGGCAGAGTATTGACTACGCACTGTAGACATCAAGTATCAGGCCAAACAGAGCATTATACAAATGATACGACATTAGATAAGCCTAAGTGCAAATTGGCTTACAAACCGGGATTTGCGTTTGCGTTTGAGTTTGCGTTTGCTCCGCTCTTCGGTTGGCGCCTTTGTTCTGTAAGGCTTAGCCTGGATCTGGGATCTGGGTTCGGATGCGGATGTGGATGCGGATCCGGATGCGGACCCAGGGCTCTTTTGCATGCCGCAGCAGCTGCTGTGGGGCTCATCACATATGCATGAGGGGGGGGACAGATTGATAGTGGTGGCCCCCTCTAAAGGAAAGGAAAGGAAAGGAAGGGAAAGGAGTTCGAGTGTCCATCCGCATCTTATGGCGCCCATTGCTTTTTAGCACCTCCGCACATTGCCACCGAGTATTCCTAATGACTATTGAATGGAGTGCCGTGTGCCGTTTGCCGTGTGCCAGTGCTCAAATCTGGGTCGCCGACACCGTGGTGCTTTCTTTTGGCCACCACCCGAGCAGCCAGAGAAGAGTCGTAGTCGTGTGCTCGTGGGCTCGGCACAAAAAACGCCGCCAAAGAATCGCCGTGTGCATCGTGTGTGCAAAAAGAAGCAACAGCAGAGCACCAGAGCAGCCGCACAGGGCCGAGTCGGCGGAAAACAAAGCCAAACCGAAACCGAAACGTAACAGAACAGAACGCAACGGAACGAGTTTGGTGGGAGGCGGGGGTTTGGGGGTTTGGACATGTGGAGCAGCACTCCGTGTGGGGGGGAGGGCGAAAAAAACTGCCAAAAAATTCGTCCTTGATTCGTTGCAGTTTCTTTTTGGCTTGATCGGTCTGGTCTGGTCTGGTCTGCTGCTCTGGCGGGTTCGTTCGAGTGTCGTGCGAGCTGTGAGTTTTCTAAAACGAAAGCAAAAAGATGCACACACACGGCTCTGGATGTGGCAATGTGGACGAGGAGTGGAGGAGTGAATGTGGAAGTGGAAGTGGAAGTGGAGGAGGAAGTGGGCCGTGGCCCCGGCAAGGACATGCGGCTGTCGACTGGAGATGGGAAATGGGGCTGAGGACTATCGACTACTGAGGACTGAGGACTGAGGACTGGGGCTTCGAGTTTCGTCGTCATGAATGAAACTCTCTGATTGCCTCCACGTGTGTGTTGCGTTGTGTTGTGCTGTGTGTGATTGTTGTTGTTGGGGGCAACTGGTTGTGTGATGGGTGATGGAGTCATGTTTGTTGCTTGTCTTTCGCCGCATCTCTTTTGCATTCTTTTTGGCCGGCGACGCACTCTGATTGCTTTTGGCTTTTGCCACCACCGATGCAGTCACTTTTTGTGTGCCACATTTGCGTACTGCTTCTTTTTGCTCCATTTTCCTCCGTTTTCCTCCGTTTGCTCCTTTCCTTGACCTGCCAATTCTTCGTTTTTTCGTTCGCTCGTTTTTTGTATGGCGATTTGTTTTTGGGGAGCCCTTGTGGGGGAGCCCGTTTAGCCGATTGTTTCATTTGATTTCGCGTCGCTGACTCCGCTCAGGTTGCTGGCTCCGCTCCACTGGGTCAAATGGGGGAGGGGGGAGGGGGTGGGGCTTTGTGTCCAGATTTCGTGGACGAGTGCATTGGCTGGCGTGCTCCGGCGACCGCTTTGTGTGTGCCCCCTGAATTGCGCACAGTGCACAGCGCACGCGGCACAAACGGCAACAATTTGAAACTCATCGTTGAGTGCACCGCATCGGACTTGCATTGCCGTTCGGGCCAAGTGCCGTCCAAGTGGCCAGCGAAGAGCTCTTCAAGCGTGTCGCCTCGCCCCCAAATCAAATTCGCCGGAGGGTGGCGTCCGGATACGGGACCGTATCTTGACCTCGTCAAATAGGGACGACCCCCCGGTCGTTTGCCCCCCTTGAAATGCAGACAAACCAAACAGGCTCGCAGGCTCACAGGCTCACTGAAACACACACACACACCCACACACACAGGCATTTGCCGCATTTCGTTCATATGCAATCGCATTAAGGTTGTCCTTATTATTTATTGACTTAATTGATTTTAAATATGCATAAAGCCGCGGTCCATCCAATATTTGTCTTTGGCTGCAAAGCGCAAAGGTGGCAGTGGCTTTCAATTAGCGGGCCCAAACACACGGCATCAGCATTGGATTGGCCACCAGGATTGGGCCACTCGACCTGGACACCATGTCCACCGTGTGGGTAGCAAATCGGACTGGATGTGGAAGTGGATGTGGAAGTGGATGTGGAAGTGGAAGTGGACCCTCTTGGTGGTGGCGGCGGGACTGGATTTTAATTTGCTGTTTGCATTATCCGATTTCAATTTTTATCTCGCTTTTTCCCCGGCCCACGCACTGCAAATATTTTCGTTTCTTTGATGCAATTTCGCTAGTTTTCCACATGCCTGATAACGGAGTAGCGGTGCTGGGGGATATTGCCACTTTGTTGATTAAACATTAATTTTGCTTCGCAAGTGCACAATGTGCATCGATTGGCCAGTCCATACCCAAGTAGGGAGGTTGGGCAGTTGGCCTGG